CTGGTGTCTCCCCAACATGAATTCCTCCTTTGGTCTTTGGTGGACCACTGGAGACCCTTGCCACTTCCATTTCCTAATCACTGGGGTGGTTGACTTGGAAGGTTTCTCATCAGATGTGCTTTATCCATCTGGATAAAGTCGAAGTGGACAGCACAATGCTGGGAAATAAGGCTGCAGTGTCCATGTTAGTGTAGTGCAAGTCACCCTTAGTATATAGTATGCCAATTTTTCAAAGGAGCTCAATTAGATTTTCACAATTACACCGGCTCCTCCACTGCATCACTGTGGGATTCTAACTGCTGTGTGCAGAGAGATAAGTATATCTTTTTGGAAGTTAACATTATCCTTACGTGAAAATATATTTCTGATAGATATTTACCTCTCTTCACACTTTCTCACATTCTTTCCCACTGTAGGTGCACATTATTCTTATCTTATCTGAAAATGAAGTTCATTTCCATTGCAAGTGCTTATGGAGATCTACTGCACATGGAGGATGTGTTGCCATCCTATTGGTTGAGAACTATTGTTGCATGATGAATTCATCATGCATTAGTGCAGTTCACATTATAACCTGTCTTTATGGGAGATAGCTCTAGGCTAGTGTCATGTACAAAACTCTCAAGGGCAGACTTGCAAGGAATGGCTATTACTTGTAGAGAGATAAGTATCTATCATTTTCAGGTAAGGAAAATGTTAACTTCCGGTTTTGTTTGTTTTTTATAAAAGTTATAAAATATAATAAGAAGTTTACCTCAGAACATTAATAAATAGGAAATTATTTTCAGTAATCATTTTTCAAATACTTGGCTCATTCACAAGGCTAGTAAATATTGTTAAATGCATAGGTACCAAAGAAACAGAAATTAAAGATTAGATTATTAAATTGCCAAGTTTTATATATTAATTTATTTTCAGAGGATGAAATTTTAAGCTAGAGCTTTTTGTCAGATTGTAAAACATAGAACAAAGGTGCATTTGTGGAGTTTGAAAATTGCATGTGCACCATTTTGAATGTTAAGTATAAAATTTCTTTGCCAAGTAAGAGGTGTGGTTTTACAAACATAACACATACACAAGATAGAAAAAGTAAACTTATAGTTTAATTAGCACTAAAGAATAAAGTTATGCATATTAAAATGTACCTTACAACCAGAAAAAACACACACTAAATTTAAATTTTCTAAAACTGAAGTAGTCCAAGAGTTGGCAATGGGGGCTGCTTTCCCTCTAGTTAGCAGTTCAAAATTAGAAATGGTGGCATATAGTATTAATAACATTGTCATGACTCAATAGATAATAATTGGAAACTAATTGATTAAACTGAACAAACTTGAATTCATTGAAAATAATAATGGCAATATTTTGACTACTGGAATAGCTGAGATAATTGAAAATAGTAATAATTTGAAACACTAATTATGATTAGTTGATTATTTTCATTACATTAATCAATTTAATCATAATTTTGATTGATTGTTTTACATAACACTATTTGATGCTCATAGGTAATTAATTAATATAGTTATTAGTGCCATAATTTTGACCTTAAATTATTTTTCAGAGTTTTCCTTAGTTCAAACTAATTCTTCACATCCCATCAAAGTCTTGACCCATTTTCAGGAGCATTCAATCAAGTTTGTAAAGTTATCAAGAACACAAGATATTTCTTTATTTTTTATAATATGCAAATTAGTCACAGTGGTAATGTTACACAACATGTGCCAGAATATATCTTTGTACCTATTTCAATATATTTCATACAAAAAGCATAATATTAAAATATTTTTTCTGATAAAAAGGCCAAAACATAGATAACACTATGCAAAGAGTATATGCTACCTTAATAATAGGGACTTCTTTTATTGGTAACATAACTAATCCGGCTGTGCATATTACTATCAGTGTCAACAATCTGATCAAGCATTCTTTATAAAATACCAGTAAGCTTCATTTTTTTCCTTTCTTTCTTTCAGGTACCTCAACATAAATACTCTTCACTTTTATTCCAACCCAAATAATATCACTTTTGTCTTAAGTTTTCAATTGACCGCTAAAAAACAAAATTATTCCTTCCTTTGTTTTATTAACATACTTTCTACTGAATCACTTTAAGTCTTCTAACATAAGATCTTTGCAATCTTAATTTAACTTCTTTAAAACCAGTGACATCTAACATACTAATTGCCATAAAAACTTTAATTTTTGTAACACTTTACTACCACTATTTGTATGAGAGAACTAAGCTACTATTTAACTTACCTGTAAGTATTACCACACAATCTATTCTCTTCATTTCTTCTAAATCTATGATATGATCCTCAAAGTCCAATTAATGAAAAAAGAGAAACAAACATTAATGGTTAGATAATCCTATAAAAAGATTGATTTTTTTATGTTATTCAATAATATTTTCGTATTCACTGTGAGGTCTTTGAAAAGGGTAGTAGATAGTGAGACTTAAGGTAAACCATTTAATCTATGCTGCACTTGGTTTGTATCATTTTATGGTTGTTCAACTACAGACATATTATATTTATATTAGTGCAAAACAATCCTTAATAGCTTTTAAAATTTATTATAGTGTATTTGAGCATTCTTGTAGTACAAATTTTAGTATTTGAATTGGATTAACATAAACTACAAAATCTTAAATTATTCATCAGTTTTACAAGAACAAAGAGAAGAATAGCTTTCCAGTATATTTAATTCTATTAGATGTTGTTAGCAGACTAATTCTGATATGAAATCTTACCTCCTCTCACAAAATAATTTTCACGACTAGTACTACCCTCTATCAATGCAAATTTTCAATGTGTGCTGCTAGCCTTCCACTTCCCGCTTCTACATATCCACATGCAAACAATCATGTAGCAGCTCTCCACCAATAGGAGCACAACACCATTCCTATCTTAACCAGCACCCTCTTCATATCTGTATCATTAATCACTTCTCGATTGGCAGTAGTACTGTACAGACATGCTGGTTTTTGCTTGCAGATTTGTCAGTGTTTTCTGTTATACTAGTGACTTATTTTTTCTTTACTATATATTTAAATTTTCGTCTTTTGGTATTGTGAAAGGTTGCTTTTTTTCACACTTTTCTTACTTTTTCAGGGACTTTTTTGCTAGTGTATTGTGGATCCCACCCTGTGGCAAGTGGTGCCTGACCATGTATACTTTTTTTTTAAATTTGCACTGTTCATCCTGTGACTGTGCTCAATATCGATTATGTTGTATCCCTTCCTACAGTGGACCTGATGTGCAATTTCAGATGCCACTTGGTGTTGGTTGTGTCTCCGTTATTGTTCTCTATGAACTAAACAATTACATCACAGGTTTGGATTATGCACACTGTAGAGATGGGGTGTTCTGTAAGACTGATAGTAATTCTCTGGTGGTTTTTTGCTTCATAAGTATGTTTGTCCTGGACTGTACACTCATGGACTAACATGAATAAACCAGACAGAGATTGCTGCCCATCTCTAATGCTCTGTGGCCTTGAGACTCTTCTCACCATGCCCTGATGCTGCCAGGTTTTGGTTGATTGACTCCGTCGACATGGTAGCCCTGATTTTCAAACTAGAATATCATGGTAACTCATTGCACTCTCTTTGGTGATGCAGTCCTCCTGATTCTCCAATGCATTTTTCCCCATACCAGTTTCTAGTTGCTGGGGTGGTGAGCCATGGAAGCCTGTCCTCCTGAGTGATGAATCACACCACTCAGTTGAGAGTAGGGCAGTGGCATTCTACAGGTGTCTCTGGCTTTTAGCACTTCCTGCTACAGACCTGATGTACAATTCCACATGTTGCCAGGTTTTGGTTGAAGCACTCCACCATATCACGAATATATATATATATATTATTGCAGTTTGCCCCTCAGGCTGAGGCTTTTTTCTTACCTACCATCCTCCAGATGTACATTACTGGTGGGTCCAGTGTTGGTTGGAGATGGTCTAGCTAAGTAAGTCCTCATGTGTGTGCTGGCTGGTATCCCTCCTTCTACTGCAGACTGGATGACAAATGCCAACTGCCACCAGATGCTGGACTGTAGATGCATCCCAAGTTTGCAGTTCCTCTTCCTACAATCTGCTGGATGTTGGTTCCTGGCAGATCTGGTGTTGGTTGCAGCTGGATGCAGCATGTTTTCCCACTTGTGTACGGCTGGATATCCTCCTCCTACCATGGACTGGAAGTACCATACCTATTGCTGTCAGGTTTTGGACCAGAGATGTCTTCTTGCCGGTGCTTTCCACCTTCCTACTGTCTGCTGGATCTGGTGTTGGTTGTGTTGGAAAAGCATGCAAGTGGATACAGATTTGGTACAGATGCTTGTCTTCCTTACCAATTCCAGTTTCAAGGTGAAGAGGTAGATGATCCTCTACCTACAATAGATCTGATGTGCCATTCCAGATACTGCCTGGTGTTGGATTAGGTCGAACTACCACTACGGTCTGCTGTGCCCTTGCCACTCGAAACTCAGGAGCCCCATTCATCAGTCACACATTTTCTGGGATTCCTTCATGTTTTTCCACCTTTTATGTTTGTGACACTGTCATAAAAGAGCGAAGAGTATACCTGGATTAGATATGGTGCATGTTTAATACTGAGGTGTGATGTTTTCTCTTTTTGTTCCACACTTCCTGGTCTCTGTGTGTGTGTGTTTCTTGAAGGGGGATCTTTTTTTTTATCGGCCCTCCACAAGTTCGTTGTAGGATTATAGCTATTTTGTGAGCATAGGTAAGATATTGTATCGGAAGTTAGCATTTTCCTACACTGAAAATGTATTTCCGATAAATACTTACCTCTCTCACTTTTCCTACCCAGCCTCCCCTCTTCTAATGATATATGGTGTAGTCTTCTGACCAATCTTGAAGTGATTAACAAGTGCAGGTGTGAAGAAGGCACTGGCTAAGATAGGAGTGGTGTCACTCTCCTATTGATGTAGAACTGCTGCATGATCATTTACATATGGATATGCAGAAGTGGAAAGTAGAAGGTTAGTGGTGTGCATGGAAAATTTGCACCAATAGAGGGAAGTGCTAGTCAAAAAACTTTTGTGAGAGGAGGTAAGTATCTATCGGAAATACATTTTCAGTGTAGGAAAATGCTATCTTTCATATATTTTTGTAAAACAGAGACTTGTAAAAGGGTTGAGTTGCATTTTTTGTGAATATCAAGGGAAGTAAGTAGTTTTATGTCTATCCAGGCCAGGTTTGTTTAGCAAAGTGCTAAAAAAAATTCAGCTTAACCATATAGCATATTTATGTAACTAAATAATTTATTTAGTATGACAAACTAAACTTTGAGTAATACAAACACATTTGTGTTCAAACTATTCTTATGCTTAAATCTATGGAATGTCAGTATAGTTTTTGTACAAAAACATAATTAAAGCTAGTGCATTTTGCTGTTACAAGTAACATTATGCAACAAGTTTTATTTATATTGTATTGTGCTTTATAATCAGTTCATTGTACATGTTCTGTTGGTAACCATTTGGAGAATTGTTATATATCAAATTCAGCTTTTACTAAAACTTCATAATTTTTTTTCCTTTTATATTACTCATAGGATGAAGACAATAATAAAACCTGTATGAATACCTTTAATCAAACCTTAAGTTTTGATAAACCAGGAGATGTTAATGAATTTTCAAGTGCTGCTGTTAGAGACACAGAACATGCAAGTGATCAGGAAGATGTTACATCTATAAAAAAGCTAGGAGACAGCTCTGAAACCTCAGGTATAAGTTCAAAGTTACCAGAAGATACAGAAGACACAAAATTAACTACAGTAGAGAACACAAATGAGGATGAATCAAAGCCTGAAGTGGAATTGCAATCACAGAAATATGCAGAAGGAATAGAGTTATCAGCTACAGAATTGAAAAAAACTGAGAATGATATGTCAGAATTTGATACACACTCTATTGATAAGATCATGTTTGAATGTAGTAGTGCAGCTCAGCAGATAAAAGACACTATTTGTCAAGTTCTTAAATCTCGTGATGAGCAACCTAATCAAGAAGGTCACTATTCAAAACTAGAGGAAAATATCAAAGTAAAGATTTCTGACTTAGAACAAGTAATCAAAAGGAATTCATCAGACTGTGACAAAACTTCAACTTCTAGTAACTCTACAAGACTCTCAGAAGTACCTCCTCCTTGTAACATATCAGACTCTTCAGATCCAGTTAACAAAGACCAAAAAACTGAAAAGATTGAAAAGAAATCTGTACAGTCAAAGTCAGAAAATAAGAAGGAAAAGAATATATCAAAGAATGAATCTTTCAAACAAATATTAACAGCTGATAGTTTAGCAACTAATACAACATCTAGTACTAGTATACCCATATCTGGTGAAAAAGATATATACATCTGTTCAAGAGAAGATAGCCCTTCATCTTTAAGTGATCCTTCTGATGATGCTCAAGGCCAGGTAATGTTTGTCCTAAGTTTACCCAAGTTAAGAGTTAACTGTCAAACTGTGATAGATACACTTAATTAAAATTTATATCAGGATGTATTCTATAAGAATATAATACATAAGATATAAAAAGTTGAAAAAATACAGCTGTGACTTATTCTAATCCTTGACTACATGTATTTCAAAAGCTAATTTTAAAAGAAAAAGGTTCCATGATTAAGAAACTGTTAAATCTTCAGATTTAAACTTAGTGTTTACCACACCTAAGAAATCATTGAACCTTCAATTATAGTTACAAGTCTTTCCAACTTTAAAAAAAAGTGCTCACTTGAGAAATTTGGATATGCTTGAAAGAAATAGGTATAACCATTTTCAGTAAACTATTTTTTTTTGTTTTTAATTCTTTCTTTTAACATTCTTGTTATATGCTTTTATCAAGTGATGACAACAGTGACGAATCTGGTACAACTGTAAAGTATAATTACAGAGTCTGTATATTTTTTAAACTGGCATTGTTTGAATGGTGACATCAAATAATTCAGACAAATATTTTATTATTGTATAGTTGCAGAAGTTATAAACCAATATTATTTTATTATAGGTGAAAAGTATTGTGTAAGTGCAAGCTTTTTGATAATTAAAGATTCCATCCTTTGCTCCTTTTGGTTTTTAGGATTTTTTTATTGTTTGTTTGATGGATAGTTCTGTGTATTTCATTTCTTAAAATCATGCAGTTTAGAAAAGACACTTATAGTAAAGGGAGAGTCAGTATTAACTTGTGGTGTTCAATGATTGTTGTTTTTTTACTGAGTTTTCTTCTTGGATTCTTTTGTTCAGATTTATCTTTGACACTGATGTATTTTGGTGTATGTAAAAGTTCTTCTATTTCTCCAATGTAGATAACCCCACAAACATTACATTTAAGTTGTTAAACAACATTTTAAATTGGCATCTCTGACCTACACTATTAACACTTGCTATGCAAGTGTTCATATAACATAGTGTTGGTGTGAAAGGCACTTCGAGTGTTGTACCGGGTTTTTGTACAGGGTGTCCCAAAATGCATATACCAAAAAGAAAGTTGAGTAACATTTGTATTATTTGTGATAACAACAAAATTCTAAATAAAATATCTTCTGCAGGCTTGTAAGTTTTATTTAATTTAATTAATAAACATCTAGATATCTTCAATCATTAGCTACAATCAATCTGATTCTGCATTCAAATTTTGAGAACACATTTTCCAACACTGCTGTATGGATGGATAAGACAGCATCACAGATACAAAGTTTCAGTTCCTCAAGATCCCTTGGTTTGTTATCTTAGACTTTTGTTTCCAAAAAGCCCCAAAGATAAAAGTCCAAAGGGGTGAACTTGGGGGAACTTTTCAGGAGTTGTCATTTCAGTTAAAAACAGGGTTAGTTCTGAAATCTGCATTAAAGCACATTCATACATAATAATGATAAATAATGTAAGTAATAAGAATAATAATTAACTTCAGTAAAACTTGCAAGCTTTTGGAAGATATTTTGTTCAGAATTTTGTTATCTCAAACAATGAAAAAGTTGTTCAACTTTCTTTTTGGTATATTCAGTTTGGGATACCTTGTACTATCCTGGTTGATTTGATGTATTATTCACTCTGTTTGAGGCTATCACCATATTGTTGGTGAATGGAATAATCATTATTGTTTTGGTATTTGTCATTTTTCTTGTTGAAATGCTTTTGTTTTTGTAGGTTAGATGCATTTTAAACAGGTTATTTTTGTTTACTTTAGATGTTGCTCTTTATCCATCTATGTCTTTAGACAAAGGTATTATTTATCATGAGAGGAAATATTAACTTAGCCAAAGTCAGTCTGAACACTATTCAAACAGAGCTAAAATCTATACTGTAAACAGCTGTTTTTTATTGTTGGAGATAATTTCTACAAACAAAAGAAGGGAGTATGAATGGGGGAATAATGTGGCTGCTGTATTTGTGCATACACTTGAAACAAAAGCTCTCCAATACATAAACAGACACAACAGGCCTTACAACAGTGGTATGGTATGGATACATAATAATATTTTTGATATATGGAACTATAGATTTGAAAACCTTCAAATATTTCATTCTTTTCTGAACACATTTCACCCTTCAAATAAGTTCACTTTGGAACATGCAGAAATGCAGAGATTACCTTTTTTAGAAGTTATCTTAGCAATCAACAAATACATAGTTCTGTGCCACAAAAAATATCTAAAAACGAGTCTTTTTTTTTGTTGTTGTTGACTAAACAACATAGGATTTCAACCATCTCAAAAAATAGTGTGTTAGGTGAGCTAAAGAGAATACACTGAAATTGTTCCTTACAAAACTCCATCACAGAAGCCTTAGTTAACCTTGGAACACTTTTATTACAAAACAGATATCCAGAACAACCTTTTTAAATGACATGAAATAACGTGAACAAAACAAGTATCTAAACAAAAAAAGCCACAAGTTATCAAAAGTACATTGACTATTCCATTCATCAGCAACACAATCACAACCTTTAAATAATCCAATCTACCAATCAGAATAATACATTGCCTGACAAAACACTTATAAAACTTTTAACACACATGCCTTTCACACCAATATTATGATAGTGACTAGAATTTGTTTTGTTCAAGAATTAATGATGCAGAGATACTAATTAAAAAATTTAGTCAATCAACTTAAATGTTATATTTATATGGATCTATACCTTGGAGAAAGAAAGACCCTTAAACACGCACACTTCAAAAAACAACAGAACACTATAGAAGTTTGAACAACTCAAATGCAGTTCAGGAGTATACTTTAAAAAAAAACATGAACCATTACAGATTAACTTTGATTCTCCATTTACTGCAGGCATCTTTTTTTACAATGCAAGATTTTCAAGAAAGAAAATACACAGAAATGTTATTCATCAAAGAAAAAATACTAAAATGAATAGGAAGTAAGTCACTAATGTATATATATTTTTAATGGCATTTCTAGTTTATTATTATATTTTAGTTTTAATTACTGTTTTCTCTATCCTTACTCTGCCCCTCTTTTAACTATTTCCTTATTGTTTTGTTTTCAGAGATGTACATTGTTTAACATCTCGGCCCTACATGCACACACCTGACGTGGAATGTATGCAAAAAGAACATACTTTGAAAAATGACACTTTACAGTTGTAGCAGTTATCACTGTTATTATCTTTTGAGATATTTCTGAGATAAGAAAAAATTGTATACCTGTTTCTTTTATGTATGTGTTAGATAATTTTGTATGTATATTATTGTAGCAGGAAGTAGAATAATTTCAATAGTCAAAGTAGGTAATAGGGCTGAGACGAAGTATTCGAATATTCCGAAGCTACGAAGCTGACAGAGGCTTCAGATCTGCCAGTGTCCATTCGAATGTTCGCATGTTTATTTATATGCATGCGCTATGCATACAATTTTTGATTAGAAAAAATGCCGTCAGATAAGGGCGTGGTTGGAAATAGTTGTAAAAAGGTTTCGGACGTATGGAGTTTTTATAAGAAACTTCATGACCGTAGGAAAGCCATGTGCACTATATGTAAAAAAGAATTTGCCTATTTAGGCGGGACAACAAACCTACGGAATCACCTCGCGTCATAGCACTTGACTCTTTACTGTCCGGACATTGAGACAACCACAACGGAGAGCAGGAAGATGCCTACCCTTGATGGATTTGTAAGGCCTGCGAAGTGCAATGATACACGTGCAAAGAATATAACAGACAGAGTGACTCAAATGATCGTTCAAGACCTACACCCCATTTGAACTGTTGAATGCGATGATTTTCGTAAGTTAATGAAGTACTTGGAGCCAGGATATGTCTTACCAAGCAGAAAACAATTTACCGCTGATATCAACCTTAAACATGCAGCGTGTAAACAACGTCTGAAAGAAAGGCTAAGTGAAGAAGCAGTGTTTATATCGTTAACCACGGATATATGGACGAGCATCGCGACAGAAAGTTACATTACCGTAACAGCACATTACATTGATAACAGCTGGGTGCTACAGGCCTTTGTACTGGAAACCTTACCTTTCCTAGAATGGCACACGGGGTAAACATTGCAGAAAAGCTGAAGAAAGTGGTGGAAGAATGGGAGATTATGGAGTATGTAATGCTACTAAATAAAAGCTTCCAGATTCCAGAAGGCCTGTAATCAAACTCTAGGAAATCTTCCTTGCTCAGACTACACAACTGCTGTCCAGTCATATTAAACTTTGACAGGTCAAACTCATGTACAATCAAACTGTAACAAATTAAATACATACATTGTTATAATATAACAAGTATACTCAATTGTAAGAAGCTTCGAAGCTTCGGTAGTTATCTTGCAAGAAGCTTCGAAGCACTACTTATAATATTCGTTTCAGCCCTAGTAGGTAAACCATCTGTTACATAATTTTTATGTCTGTTCTGCTGTAATAGGAAATAGTATGATGAGTTGGAATAGTAAAAACATTCTAATGGTTTATTAAGTATAAAAACAATAAAAATTGGATGAGAAGCTTCAGAAACAGAGCATCTTCTTGTACTACCAGAAGTCTGGGTAAATCAGTAGTCATAATATTTTTGGTTTGATAATAGATTTAATGAATGTCTCTCCATGAATGTACAGTTTTTTTAACTCAAAATTAATGAAGCAATTGAATCTAAGTTATTTCTTTATGATAGTTTGTTTAATTTTCAGGAGAAAACTCAGAAACAACCCACAAAAACAACATCAAAAACTCAGAAAGGAGAATCCACTATCAAGAGAAAAGGAGAGAAAACTGTTGGTGTGTTTCTGTATCATTGTTTAGCTTATTGTATATACAGTAATAATTCAAGATAGCTTTGATATATGGAAACATCTGTTAGCAGAGTTCTTGCACAGATCTTAAAATATAACATTCATAAAAGGAAACATCGGCTCGTGTAGATACGTAGATCTTGAAAGTTGAGTTGTTCAAAACTTGAAAATAACGTTAATAACTGGACCAATGTTGCAAAAAAAATATCTACTGAAGCTTTTCGCCAGACAAAGATGCGATACCTACCACACAGAAAAGTATGGTTATTTATGAATTCTCGTGCCATTGCGAATGTCGGTATGTAGGTCGCACTCCACAAAGATTGCAGGATAGAATTAAACAACATGTACCCACATCAATAAAAACTAAGAGTGTGCATGTCTCTCCTGTAAAACAAAAGTTCTACCACCAAAATGTGAATCAGCAATTGGCCAGCAT